AGGAATGAGGCAGGATATAAGATGGAGTATTTAAACTGGAGGGAAGGACAGAAATAAGAGGTGGGAGTTACAGAGCTGATTTGTTACTGCCTTTCAGCTGAAGCTGTTACATGAATAGACCGTCATACAGTTTTTTTAGGTCTCCCAAAAAGAGTCTGTGTGCTTCCATCTCCTAATCTGATTCTTCCTCAGGCACCTTTGCTCAGCTACAGTGATATGTCTGTACTTGCTTCTAGCAGCTTCTTTAGCAAAATTTCTCACCTTCCTTATATAACATATGGTCCTAGGTGGAGAACTGTTGCACTTACCTCATTTGATTCAAGAGATTTAGCTCCTTTTTTTCCCTTTTCTTTTTTTTTTTTTTAAATTAAAGCGTATCATGGTTTATGATTGACCATCTTCCCAGCATGTTCCTCATGAGTTCTGTTTTTAGAGTTCATGTTAATGAAAATTTCATCTGAAACATATAGGAAATTCTAAGTGCTTTAAGTAAAACCTGCAGCATTTCAGCAGTTGTGGTTTTGCCTTAATTGTTCTATTAGGTGTGTTATCAAAACAACCACTTAAACACTGACAGCAGGAAAGCAAGCACATATTGGTGGTGTCGCACATATTAGAAAATGCGGACCCTTAGTGTATAAAAAAGATCACATTAAAGCACAAAATGCTTTGAGCTGTGGGGTTTTATTAACTTCTGTTGATGCTCATAGCTGTATTTGGGGCTGGGGGGTGGGGAGGAACCCCCAAACTATATAAATACAAATTGTGAACCTTATTTACTGGAATATGGTCAGAGTTGGAGAAATCTTTGGGGGCTGAAATTATTAGCTCTTAATAAGAGATATAATTCAATATTATTCTGCTCACTTCTTGTAGTGAAAATGACTTGAATTTGCATATTAAATGCAAAGAGGTAGAAAATGAGAATGCTTACCTAAGTGATTTATATAAAAAATATAAATAGGAAGTCCAAGAATGGGAAAAATAGGAAGTCCAGTACTTCCTAAATTTTAAAGGCCACCTAGTAACCTTGTTTTATAAACGGAGAAGTACAGCAGTCTCCACACATATAGTACAGGCACTTTGAATTTATACGATGACCAAAATTCCTTTACAGCTGTTCATTTCTGCAGTGCAATCTTTCCATTTAAAGAAAAATAATTAACACAACCTGGTAACAGAGTGGCTGGCCAGAAAACTTTCTTTGAAAAATGTTTCATTGTTACTTAGTTACTTATAAAGCACTTGCTATTGGTAATCAGTTTTGCTTAATTAATATTGATGAGAGGAAAGAAGTTCACTTGATTCAACAGTTGATTCAAATGTAATTTATAAGATGGAGAGAAGTTAGATAGAATTAAAGGGCACCTCTTCCTGTCGGATGATGGATTCATTTGTAAATGCTGATAACCTGAGAGATGTCCTACTTTTACTTGGATTTCATCTTTTTTTCCCCCCAAATTCAATTCCCATCATGTAGAGAATCTGTCTAATCATTTCCCCAAAACAATCTAAAAATATTTTGTATTGATAAGGAATACTTAATTTGGGGCCGGCCAAGCATACAGTATAAAGAGAAAATCTTTGTTATGAAGAACCAACATGCCTTTTGAAGAAGCAACAGAGCAAGGATTATACGTTTGTGATGAGTAGCTTCTTGACGAAAAGCTTCTTGTTACGACGAGATTCTTAATGCCGTATGAATGAACAGTAAAATTTATAATGGTCTGTGTAGAGGGTTATAGTCACCCTTGATTAAAATTAAGGGTTAGGAAATGACTTATCAACATGTATATGGCAATGAAAGTTGGCCTGAAATTTTATCTACAAAGGAGTCTGTTTCATTAAGAAAAACAGGTCAATTAATATTTTTAAAGCACATGTTACAACATGCTCCCGAAATAATAAACTGGATATGGGAATGAGGGGTTTGCTGAAGAGCTCCCCTGGTGGCTGTACGAAGACATAAGCCACAACGTTGCCAACCTTTGCTGTGACTTTCCATCAGACTGACTTTTCTCCGGGTAGATGGATACTGCAGTCCTCTTGTGGTCAAAGCATTTTGGCATTGAAACCAAACTCTTCTTGAGCTTTGCTGTGAACTGCTAGGTTGTTGGTTGCATGTGCTCACAGAAGCTCAGTCAGTCGGCAATGCCATGGAAAACCAACCCTGTTAACAGGGCCCTTTGCAGCTTTTTTTGAGCGTGCCGTGTGAGCTGCCCAGAGCCAGGTATGGAACAGAAGCGTTGGTGAGTGTGGCACGTTGTGTGGATGAGGAGATGCAGAAGTAATGAAGAAAACACTCTCGGAGTCCTTTCTTTAGAGGAAGTGTGCTTATTTTGGATATAAGTATTTCCACACTAATTAAAAAGAAGAAACAAACTTTTTTTTGATTCGTATCTTTGGAGGTTTAATGCTACTTGGAAAGCTCGTGATTAAGAGGTGTGTATATGTTAGGATGAAAATGTAATTAAGGAGGGAAGGGTTTCTTTTAAAGCAAAACCAAAAAATGCAAACAACAAAAAAGCTGAAGGAACAGAATGAAACTGGAAACAAATGCCTGTCTTCCTATATTAATTCACCAAAACCAGGAACAGAAACAAATTGAGGTAAGAAACAAAGAGCATAACACGTAAGGATTGAAATCAGAGAAAATAGTGGCTCAGAAACTTTGTTTACATCTCTTTATGGTAAGAGGAAAAAGTGAATTGGAAGAAACTTGAATTGCTTTGTGAGCATTGCATTGCTCTTGGCAATTGGTACATTTTACCCTTTACTCCTTTAAAATTAAAAAAAGGAAAAAGTCTCATTTGTAGTTTGTGATTTTCACTAGAACTTGTGTTTGTTATATTGCTTTATGGCCTGACTGCATGTTTCATAGATAACTCGATATTCAGATATGATTGCAATCACTGTATTTAGGCCGAAGTTGGATGTAAAGGTTAAATAATTGAACTTTGAAATTGGGTGCATGTTAATGTTTCCCATGATAAAAGGACATACTAGTAGCATGTTTTACTATTTAAGAGAAATACTTCAAAATGGTAGCATGTAAGAGGCAAACTGTTAGACAGTGAATGGCTTAGGAGTTGTACAGTACAGGTAAATGATGAGATTTGGGGGTGTTATTTAAATATTGTTTTAAGCTTCTCTCCCAAGTTTCCCCAAAGCAGACAAGGAAAACCAGGTGATTGACTTTTATAATGCTACACTAGCCAGCCAGTTCAGTGTGTTCATGGAACTGTTGAGAAGAAGGTCATGCATGGCATGAATGGAGGGTGGGGTGGTAGAAGTACTGAAAGAGAAGGAGATTTGAAAGACTTTTGAAAAGACTGTTGCCTTTCTACATGTTAATGCATTACTGATGAGAATACAGAAAAAAAGTGAAAATTCTAAATATGAACTTGATTCATATTTTGCTTAGGGCTTGTTGCTGTGGGAGAGAAGGCACAAAAGAGATCTGGACATTACAGTGTGATGAAGGACCTTTCAGGTAAGATTTCTGCTTGTTCAGGAAAAAAAAATTGCTAATTTTTGATCTTTGCTGATGATTCTTCTGATGGAAACACTGAAATTTTACATACATTTAATTCGTAAGGTAAACATCCAGTCTCTGCATTGATGGAAATATGTAACAAACGAAGATGGACACCACCCGAATTTGTGTTGGTAGATGATAGTGGGCCTGATCATCGCAAACATTTTATTTTTAAGGTGGGTTTGAGCTTCCTTGTTTGCTGTTGGTTTCTCTATTAAAACATGACATAAAATTGATCACTATGTATTTCAGTGGTAGCTGGCATGTGCTGAGCAATGTCTCAGTGCTAAAATTTCAGTCTTGTTCCTGTAGAGTTATAAGCCAAATCAGATCTCTCAAGCACATATTCTATAAAGAAACTGATGTTACTTAAATTATTAACCTGTGTTGAATCATATTCTTGCTTCTTACTTGCAGGTGTAGTGTTGCGCTTTACTGTTGGAAAGATGTTGTAAATGCAAGAATAAGCTATTTTTGTCCTTTAGTTACATTAGAGTACAGGCTTTCTTTTCCCATGTAATAGCTTGCATTAACAGTTACAGTTTGGGAAATGGTTATTTGTACTTACAGACCAGAAGTGAATTGTGTCTACCCCAAGAAGAATCACATACAGCTGTGTGCTAAAAAGGAGCTCAATGTACTGTTGCCCCTGAAATAGAGAGAAATAACTTTCTTATTTTCTCCCCTCTCCTAAACAGGTGAGAGTCAATGGAAATGAATATAGGCCTACTTTTGCCAGCCTTAATAAGAAGCATGCTAAAGCCACAGCAGCAACTGCGGCTCTCCAAGCGATGGGACTTGTACCAAAGGAAAGCATGGCCACTACCACCATGTTTAGGAGTGCCTCACACCGCTAGATATTGTTTTTTATATTGACATTATTTCAGATAATTTTACTCTGCACAGAAAATGGTATTTGCCCCTTCATGTTGTAAATACATTGGCAATTCCCACGTTGTAAAAACTGTACAGACACCTTCAGGTTTTTCTTTTGTACCATCAAAATGTATTTAAATCATACTTAGTTTTTGGTATGTTTATATTGTTTACATTAGTGATGTAATTATTTCTTAAATGACTAAAATCAGACAACAGACTCTGGAGGCATCAGTAATCTAAACCCTTGTTTTAAAACTCATGCAATTTCTCTTCGATATGGAATGTTAACTCTTTCATACTGTTTTGTACTATGCTGCAAGTTTTCCCCTGGTCTCGGTAAAGCTCCTCTCGCCCTTTTGCCCAGAGCTGGCGAAAGGCCACACGGCTTCTCCTTAGTCCGCTCAGGGCCGGCACCGGCACCAGCGGCCGCGCAGGCCCCGTTTCCGCGGGGAGGGCGGGCGGCGGGATCCCCGTGGCCGCGGCCGCCTCCTCCAGCCAGATTAACACACTGCCTGATGTTGATTGTATGAATTTGTGGTTAATGTGAATTTTAAACTCTTTAACAGATCTACAACTGGATTTGCGGGGGGGAGGGGGGCAGAATGATGCTTCAATTGTTGTACCCGACTCGGTCAATAAAGCAGCACAAGTTCATAATCTTAATCACTGCTCAGTAAACAGTACTTAAAATCCATGCCAAAATAAGGATTTGAAAATACGCACAGTAGAAATACCTGTATTGTAAAGAATAGTGACACATGTTAGGGGTTGCAGAATCCATTCTAGTCATCTGCAGTTGTTTTAGAGTATTACCAAATTATTAACTCCTTGGGCTTTAGTTTTCTGTAATGGTACTTGGCCCTTGAGGATTCAGCCTGAGCCGGGGCTTTGGCTGTTTGATAGTGGAGAGGATGCCAAAAGACTTGGTAAAAAATAAAAGTAGTACTTCAGCTCTGCGCACTTTGAAGGTGAGAGGAAAGCTTGGGCTGCAAAGGGCATTTTCCATCTCTTGCCAGGTTTGGCTGTGTTATGAGCAGATTGCCAGGGTTTATGGTCTGTACTAGTCAAGATCCTTATTTTCTGGTAAGTCTTTGAGGTCGTTTCTTACACAGCTTCGTTGGAGAATTTTGGAGATGAGGGATTACTTGTACCTCTTATCCATGAAGTAGAGTTACTATGTGTTCTCTCAGCCATGTTGAACGAAGCCTCTTTCTCTGCTCTAAAGGGACAAGTAGCAGTGTCTCATCTTGCACGTGGCATAAGGGAACGACAGAGAAATGTTCTGCATTCTCCACCAAGCGTTCTCAAGAAATCAGGCCCCTTAATAATCGATCGAAGCGCTCTAGAAATGCCTGAAGTGATCAGAATTTTTGTGGACGTATTTGTCTTTAATTAAACTTCTTTTCCGTTTGACTTCTTGCCTTCAGTCTTTGAGTAAAACTTGTTCTTAGGTATCCTTTCCTTCCTTGCTGAGATAGCAGGGAGGTGTGTGGTAAGCAGCAAGAGCGACGGTAAGCAGCGGAAGGACGAGTGCGGGACCTGTCTCAGCTGAAGCCTGGCTCCATGTAACTCCGTGCGGCTCTGCGTATTGAGCTGGGGACGTGGGAGGCAGCTGTTCATCAGGCTCGTGTTGCTATCCGATTTTGATGCGCCTTTACCAGAGATGTTGATTCTTCTGCTGAGTCTATGCTGTCCATGTAAACGCTGCCTGCACAGTATCGCATCTGGGAACATGCAATATTGTACTTGTTAATTTGGTTGTTCTTTTTTGTCCATATTACTCATGTCTGATATAAAGAAATATGTGTTATCTCACAAGCAAGAAGCAGATGAATTCAATCTAACAGAAGACTTCATTAAAAAAAAAAGGCAAGTTCTGGATTTCATGCCTTAAAGAGATGGCTTGTGTGTAAATTCAACCCCAGTCATAAGGAAGGTGTACCAAAAAAAGGAGAGCTGTGATACCATAATTGACATGCATAATTTTTAGGTTTCTGTTGTATTTTCATGCCCATTGTTTAGAAAGATACTTCAACTCCTGTTGAGTTTGTGAGTATGCTTTGCATGCAGACATAGAAAAGTAGTCCTATATTAAAAAACAACTAGGAAACACTCTCAGGGAACCTGGTTATTTCTGCAGCATTTCAGCTGTCTCAA